TTGGACGGAAGAATCCCAAGTATTGTTACAGGCTGCGGACTGACTGGCTAAGTAGCAGTTCTGCAGAAAAGGACCTGGGGATTACAGTGGCTGAGAAGGTGGATGAGAGTCAATAGTGTGCCCTTGTAGCCAAGAAGGCTAATGCTATATTAGGAGGAGCATTGCCAGCAGATCCAGATAAGTGATTATTCCCCTTTATTTGGCTCTGGTGAGACCACATCTGGAATATTGTGTCCAGTTCTGGGCCCCCCACTATAGAAAGGATGTGGATGCATTGGAGAGGGTCCAGTGGAGGGCGACCAAAATGATTACTGGGCTGGAGCACATGACCTATGAGGAGAGACTGAGGGATTTGGGTTTGTTTATTCTGTAGAAGAGAAGAGTGAGAGGGGATATGATAGCAGCCTTCAACTTCCTGTAGGGAGGTTCCAAAGAGGATGGAGAAACGCTGTTCTCAGTAGTGAGTGATGGATGGCAGAACAAGGAGCAATGGTCTCAAGTTAGTGGGGGAGGTCCAGGTTGGATATTAGGAAAACCTATTTCACTAGGAGGGTGGTGAAGCCCTGGAATGGGTTACCTAGGGAAATAGTGGAGTCTCCATCCCTATAGGTGTTTAAATCTTGGCTTGACAAAGCCCTGGCTGGGTTGATTTAGTTGGGATTGGTCCTGCCTTGGGCAGGGGACTGGACTTGATGACATCCTGAGGTCTCTTCCAGCTCTATGATTCTATAGACACTCCTGACTCCTTAGAGGTTATCCTATTAGAACAAGGATAAAGGAATTTTGTAAGTTGGTAAGATAAGCTTGTACTGTAGTGCATGATGTTCCTGCTGTACGATGAAAAAAAATGTCAGTCTCTAGAATTCTCAGGCCAGCTTAACTTGTCCAGAAGAAGCTTTGTTAATAGTGATAATGCATGAGAAGCAAAGGGCCCAAGTTGAGTTTGTCCATTTAGTATTTGGGGAGGGGGGGGGAGAAGTCTTTCTTATTTTAAACTGAGCACATTTGTTATGGAAATAACTTGAAAATCATTATCATGGAACTCCACATGCTTCTTAATAGGATTTCTCTCTTGTGGAATTTTTACACTAATTGGTGAGTAGTTGTATACATGAGTAGTGCCATTGTGAGCAATGTGCTCCAACTCAAGTAAAGATTGCACAGTCTAGCCATAGGATATTAAGTTCATGACCTGCTAATGCTGAAATAGTCATTATAAAACAGATACAGTTATTTTGGCCAAACTCTAACAAGCTTAACTTTAAAAAAAAAAAGTAAATAATTACAATTGTGTTTGACTTTTATACTAGCTGCTCTTTTTATTTTTCCTATCTTTTCAGTTAGATTATTTTGAGTAATGTATTATGAAGATCAAAGTTCTTCTCAGTTTTATGACAGGAAAATCTTACTCTAGTAGAGACAGTGAGTAGATAAGTTATTTAATGACTATTTGAACTAACCAACCAACCTACCAATGGAGGTGCTAAAGGTTCTTAACAGCCTCTTGTAACTATTTGAACTATCTACTCACTGTCTCCTTTTTTTTTTTTCTTTCCTCCCCTCACCTTTTTCCTTCTTCTCTCCCTCCCCTATTTATTCATGGATCTGGACTTATACTCCGGTCATCTGAAGAAGTGGGTTTTGCCCACAGAAGCTCATGATACCATCTTGTTTGTTAGTCTTTAAGGTACTTGTTGAGGGGCGCGGCGCCAATGCCCCCCCCAGGGGTGCGCAGGCCCCACCCCGCTCCGCTCTAAGCCCCAAAATCCCCGTCTAGCGTGCTCCCTATCACCATCCTACCCCACGTCTGGCAGGGTTGGTCTGTCGAAGCTTGCCCACTCCTGGGGGCATTCTGGCCGGCGAGGAGAGGTCGGGGGGCTCGGGTCTGCCTTCACTCTGAGCCCCAACCCAGGGCCCTAAGGACTGGGGCTCTGCGCCCCAGTTCCGGTTGGTGAGGGGAGGGAAGCTCCACCCAGCAACACACCAACCCCCAGGTTCCAACACCCTGCCCTGGGTCGCTTCCTACCTCCCCTGCCAAGTCGCCGGGACAGCCCTGTCCATGGGTCTCCGTAGGAACGGACCAGGATGCCTCTGTCCTGCCCTCCGCAGGCGGGCTGCG